ACCGAAACTCATATTGAAAGATTACAGAGAGCTTCAAAATATATATCCAACATCATAAAATTACAAAGCATTTTACAGGCCATGCTCCGGATTCAATAGATGTGTAGGCAGCCATTAAGAGTTGGCCAAGCTCCAGCCAGCACCTACACAATTGTGTAGTCTCGTATGTAGGCCTGTGATACACAAGAGGTAATAGTCCTACGTAACTGCCAATACCACATTGTTTATTGCCCTTAGCACTTTCAATTACAACTTATTGTATTTCACTCTTCAGTAGGCCTATGTCTTGCTAAGTAGTTGCCGTTTGGTAGAAATTGACAAAATCCCTGTACAAAATTAAATGTATTTTTTATAAATAACCAAATGAACTGATTAAGTTTAATGAATCAGGAGGAAGAATCCACTTTACAACGATGCTAGCCTACAATGTACAATAATCCTATGAAAATGTTTGCTTAAATTTAATAATAACTTAACTATGAGTTTGTACTAAAAGCTCATTTTTTAACATTCTAATAAGTTTGAAATTACTGAATTTAAACACATGAAGTAGATTTAGTAAGTAATTTGGTAAATGTGTTTCCTCTTAAATTAAAAACTCAAAAAAGTAAGGTACAGTTGTATCAATTTACCAACTCAGTACCTTGCTCTGAATAAATTTATTACTTGGCAAAAGTCATAGGTGATGAATGTCTAACAATGCCAATCATTAAGCATGCAGCACTTTGCAGCTCGCTATTAATGATTAGATATTGAGGGGAAAATGATTATTGGAAAGAGAGAGTATGGTAAATGGTCTGTGACCAGACCAAGATACTTACTAAAATAAGTATGCTTGGTTGACTCATTGTAACATTATTCGGGCAGATTTTATTATTATTGTAACATAAATCATAATTGTTATACTGTACTGTCCCTGTATTAGATTAAATAAAAGTCTCAGGTCTACATTTTAGTAGCCAGAAAACCTAATATACATCAGTTTTGTCTAGAAGGGAATTTAGATTGAAAATGTGTTTAAAAATTTATGAAAATATAGTTAATTTGATTTCACTGTTAAGGGTGGCATCAATAGGACTATCAATGATTCTCAAAAAATTAGAAAGTATGCTTTGCTTTTAAGCTGGGTTTGACTTGTCTGTTTCTGGTATGAAAATCAAATCTTTGGTCAATGACTTATATGTCCTTATCATCAAAAGGTCAATTATTGTTATTATTATTACACCTTTGAATAAGCTTGATAAAATTACAAGGAATAAGTACAAATATCTTCAGTGAGATAAAAAAATACTGTAAAAAACTGTCAAATGAATAAAAGTATGCTAATGCATAGCCTAATTATTTAATCTTAGTCTTTTTCTATTTAGCATTCAACTTTTGTTTTAAATTATATATAAATTTAAATCATTCAGTAGAATATGTTCAGTGCTAAAAAGTCTAACCCTTGCTTAGTTTCACACATTAGAAACTTGTGTATAGAAGATAAGTTAAATAAATTAAAACCTAGCATGAGCTACAGTACTTGCAAAAGGCAAAACATGCAAATTTCAACTTCAAAGTGGAATAGGTTCATTTGACAGTAGAGTTGATAAGGTTATCAAGAGGTTGTGAGAGAAATGCAGCATTAACTGTGACCCCAGAAGCCATCATCTCTTATCTAGAGTGATAACACATTACACAGCTGACAGCCCCCACCATAAACTCATGTCACAAGCCAGCTTCCTAGTATTTACAGTACTACAGTAGTTATATGACTCATAGGGCCCTTCTTGAAACAATTGCATCATTTGAGCAAACAAACTATCAACAATACTATTGAAATGCCGTAAAATACTCTTTATATCTATCATTTTATGTTTTAAAATTCATTGAAAACCCAACAGATTAGTTTATAACAAGCGACTTAACAAGAGCAGCCTATTCATGAAAAAATCCTGAATATAAATAATTGAGATAGGTTGAGTAGGCTACAGAAAAAATGTTACCAAGTATCCTTCAATAGTTTTTTGTGTAACTAGTGAGCAAAGTGGCACTTAGCTACACTTGAGAGAGATGTTTAAATGAGCGGAATGCTTCTTGAGTGCAGCAAAGACACTTTGCACTCGTCTAACAAATTATATTTTTCCTACAGTTACTATAAAGCATATAAATAATGGGCAATATTTATATGTTGTATATATAGCGTACGTTATATATACAGGTGAACTTTTACAATACCGTTTCACAAATAACAAATCCAAACCTAAATTAAATTATCTCCCAATTAATCAAAATCTTATTAAAAAATTTTGGTTTTTCTTTTCCGAGTTTGTTTAGCTCTTCCCTGACCGATTTTCATGATTGAGGTCTCAAATTGAAGGTAAGCACGCACAGATTTCACATCAAGCATCGGCATATATCAATCTACAGTCCCACATGGCTTATACGTAAACGAAATTTGCTCCCCATGTTTTTCTTATGGGAGTTAAATTTGGTTTTTCTTTTCCAAGTTTGTTTGGCTCTTCTACCCGACCCGATTTTCATGATTGAGGTCTCAAATTGAAGGTAGGCACGCACAGATTTCACATCAAGCATTGGCATTTATTTATATACTGTATTACTCGGCCAAAAAACATAGCTTAGATTTGTTTTTGAATTCTTACTTCAATTTAAGAAGTATTTCACCAGTTATGATTACAAAATCCTAGGCCTATATATTTTGGTTTTACCTTCAGTGAAATACCAGCTTTCATTTAAGTTATTAGTTATTCAAATCGCATGAGTTTCAAGCTGACGTAAGGTTAACAACCAACATAAAAATTATTTTTATAAAGTTTTTATAAGGCTATGATTGAAAATAAATAGCTCAAGTATTGTAAATAATCAGCAAACTATAGGCTTTCATTTGAGCTATTGACCGTTTGAATCAGTTAAGTTCAAGATACTGTATTACTCAATAAAAAAAACATAAATTTGATTATTTCTCGGATGATATTTCGACGCTGTGGAGTAGCTTTGGTCCTCCAGTCTAAATAATATTGTTTCACAAATTAACAAAAAAATCCAAATGAAATCTCACAAACATGATTAATCAAAAACTGAATGTCCTTTTTGGTTTGAAAAGTTTATGAATGTGTTTATGTTGACACTCAACAACAGGTTAGGGCCTGTAGGTTTTAGGTTAAGTCCAAAGCATTGCACGTCAAATATGTAGGCCTTTATTACACCAGCTGATCGATTTAGTAGTGTTGCCAACATGTTTTCAAGCGTAGTCTAGACGTATTACGTGCCTAATGAATGCTCACTATTTTGTGTTGTTTGGCTGATATACTAGAGTGCGGGAAAGTGAATAAATGCAGGAATGAATTACTGTGCGTGTTATAATCAGTGCAAGAAACCCCGCTTTGTCAGGCAACTGAAGGAAATTTTTTTTAGTACCATGAAATTAAAGTAAATAATGGCCTGTGTTCAAACTGGATGGATATAACATGTAGGCCCCTAATGGTATATTCATTTGTTATTTCTTTCAATTACTTTTCTCTGTTGGAATGAATGTAACACATTCATTACTTAGCAGTGTGTCCGTTCCGGGATCTTGTAGTCAGTTGAAACTTTATATATTCACATTAGCATTTTTTGAAATATGCAGGTAAACAACTATACACAACCGCCGTAAACACAGTAAATGACGGTTTTAAGGCCAACCAAAACAGTTTTGCAAATAAACGTTAAATGGAATTTTTTTAGATTAAGATATGTAAAAATGACAAAAAACGTCTTGTTTCTATACAATATACAGTCAAAACTGTGTAATTATTTAGCCTACATATATTTTAAAGGTCTGAAGAATTCTGCGGGTTAAACTCAATTAATTGATGAGTAGTATAGAGATATGATATAAAATTTGTTCATTAAATAAGTTCAATGCTTTTAATTTAAAGTCACAAGAGTGAATTTTGCTTTATTTTAACATAAAACTTCCTGTTAGAACTGTTTTACTGTTTAAGTTACTGTGCTTTAGAACGATTCAAAACTACAGGATAAACATTAAAGTTTCAAAACCGAGTAGGCCAAATGAAACCTATTTCTGAAGCTGAGCAAGGGTTCAGGCGTGAAGGTGTCAGAAATAGCACAGCGTCAATATGCACTCCATAACAAATACAGACTGTGCTGTGATTTAGTGAGGTTTTTATATAGACCGGCAAGTCAGCAACGCAAGCGTTAGACCTAATAATAATTTAAATCCCAAAATAAACGCTCCGGATGCATCAAAGTCAGTTTGTCATCATTCTCTAGACGTTTTAAACTACAAGTTTACGTTACGACCAACAGATAGATTGAAAAAACACATATTTCATCTGCGAAAAATCGAGAGAGATTTAAAGCAATAATGCTGTGTTTTGATTTTTTTTTTCATAAGTGATAACATTTAGTACCGGTACCGGTACAGTAGTATTGCTCATTGTATCTACTTTCAAACAAAACTATAATACGACAGTATTACTATATGACTCAAAGAATTGGGTGCTAAGCAAGAGAACGGAAAACAAATTTAACAGTGTTCGAAAACAAAATTCTAAGAAAAATCTTTGGACCATCCTTTGAAAATGGAGAATGGAGAAGAAAGCACAACAGGGAGTTGAGAGTTGTAATGGGGATCCATATATTGTGACCGAGGTGAGAGATAAGTATTAGAGGTGGGCGGGCCATGTGTTTAGAAAGAAAAAAAGGCTGCTCCTTAGTGAAAAACACCCCAATCAACAGCCCTGAGGGTAGAAGACCTCCTGGAAGGACCAAGTTGAGAAGGAAAGATCAGGTAAGAAGAGACCTAAGAAGAATGGGAAGAGGAGGAAGCAATGGATCAAGAAATCTGGAGGCTTTGTGTTGGCGAGACTAAGTACCTACAAGAGTATTGCATTTAAAACCATTTAAAGAGTTTTTACTCTAAGTGTATAACCTTTATCAGTAAATTAGCGTTAAACTATCTAGTAATTAAATAGTAGGTAAATATCAAAACTCACCATGTCCGTTGTTGGATGTGGGTGGAGTGAGAGGCGAAGGTAAGGCACTTTGTCCCTGTGTTAAAATAATTTGACTCTCTAGTTCCTGCAATTCGGCATGCAGTTCCCCCAATTTTGAATTTGACTTTTTAACGATATGTGCAACATCTGATAAAGATTTACGATCAGTAGCAACCTCCCTTAATTTTTCTGCCCCCTCTTTAATTTTAAGCTCTTTCCGAATCTCACGCCGAATATGTTCCTTAAGTTCCTCCAGTTTACATGGAAGCGCCGCCTCAGGAACCGCCTCTGTTTGAAAGCCGTACTTGTGACTCAACTCGTACAGCACCGGATGGCGGATGTAGTCCCCCTGGAAAAGAAAAATATGATAAAAACCTTATAATGTAGCTTACTGAGAGTTTGTTGTATGGGAAGTTTCAAAGCGCCACCTTTCAAAAACTCAAAAAACTTCTGTCCGTAACAGTTAGGTCTAGGGCCTACTCGTAAATTACTCTAATCCTCTATGTGCCTTTTTAAGGAATAGCCTATCTACCCATTCTTGAATAATGTGCATTTAACATTTTTATAAAATAGTGTGGTAGGCTACCTCTTAATTTTAGGTAGCCTACAGCTAAACCATTACCTATTATACCCGGTATCTAAGTACTGAACTAAGTGCAGTACTTACCGTTCCTGTGATCTGGCTTTTATCAACTTCTATATGAAACAAAATTTTAAACTTCACTGAACTTTTTTATAACCAAATATATAATATATGACCTGCAAAGCGTTGGTTAGGCTACAATAGATTTTTCTAAAAAACTGCCTAAATCTGCTTGAAGAGAATGATACTATTTTTCTTATTTTAGGTTACAGGTATACGACATTAATAAATATAAATTCTGTCTTTCAGAATAACATTTTAATAAATATTTATAAATTTTAAGATGTGCCACATTCTGGGAAATTGTGTTCAAAGTACACTAATTTATCTTATGATTAAGTTAATTTAATGAAGGCTATACTGAGGCTATGTGTGAGGCTATGATGATGAGGCTATTAAGGCTATGATAAATGTCAACTAAGTTACCGGTAAATTCGAAATATTACTAACAATTTTTCAAAAGTACAAATTGGTTACAATTTTCCTCACCAGAAAATAGAGAGACCTCACTTGTTTTACCATCCTTTCGCTGAGGAAAACACAATAAAACTGAGGTTTAATCTCCCAGGCACATCTAGCCTTCCCACAACTTTCAGATGGATATTCTCACCTATTGTCTCGTGATGTTATATAAATAGCCTTGAAGAGTTTGCAAGTACCAACATTCAAAACTCAATTTCAAGTCAAACTTTGAAACAGCACATTCAGGCCTTAATAGTAGTTAACTATTTGAAATAGATTAACCCTCAATCAACCACACATAGCCTTTAAGTCTACATAATAGCCCAATGACCACAAGTTAAGTGATGTAAGTAGGCAAATATGAAGCATGAAGAATGGAAGATGATTATAAATCTAATGATTTTGTCAATAAAGCACCAATCAAAGTACGTACAAAACTGTACCAACTTTCAATTTGATAAGAAAAATAAGTTAACTAACCATACACTTCAATAGTTAACTTAGGGTACCACAAAAAAAGTTCAGACAACTCTTAAGACAATGATTTTATTTATTTAGCCTTAGTTTAATTATCAATTTCAACTGGATCTAGTTTTTAGGTGAGTCGGTGGCTCAGACGATAGCACCACGGACTTCAGGCCCAAGGCAGCGATGTTGTGGGTTCAGATCCTGGTCATTGCCGCATAACATTTTATCAGTACAGTTCATCCTGTACCGGCTCACCCCTTGCTTTGCTAGATACGTTCCACGCACAGGCAGTTAGTCTATGAGGACGGGGAAATGCAAGGTTAAAAGAGGCCGCCACCCTCTTTAAAACAAAAAAACCAAGTAGGCCTTACCTGGAAAATAGCCTAACATCTGAGGTTTTTTTTTGTCATAGGACGCTAGGCACGACCCTGGGATTGTTTGATTCACATTACTTCAGGCTAGACCTAGGGGTTGTGGCATTATCACTTAGATAAAATCCATTGGTGACTTGGCGGGGATCGAACCCGGGACCTCAGGGACTGAAGTCCTGCAATCTAACCACTACGCCAGCTCGCTCCCCCCATCTGAGGTTGGAGGGTGTAACATAATTCCTTTTATTATTTGTAATGTGAAAATGTTAAAAAGAACTTAGGCCTGACCGGAACAGTTCCGCATTAAACCTACGGTAACCTATGATATATTATCGGAAAAAATTGTCTTTCTATAGCCTAATATATAGTTTGATATAATAAGGCCTTATATCAAATTTATATAGCCTTTGAATGTACCTTAACTTTGATTTTCCGTTAAGTGTGTTTTCAAGGTGAGGGAATCACCACTCTTTTACAATGCGCTGTGCTATTTAAAATAAACTTACGTTATCTTATTTCAGTTTAGTTTAAATGAAAAAAAGACAAACTAGGGAACATTTACCGTTGTCTAAACTCACCCAACGGAGAATCTCCTCTTATTGAATTCAAAAGTGATATTCATCCTCACAATAGGCCTACTAGGGGGAATCACGACTTGAATGTACCCTATGAATTGAATTGAATACAGTAGAACTCCAATTATCCGAACTCCAATTAACCGAATCGCCGATTATCCGAATCGCTTATTTCAACAATTTTAATAATGTAGGCTAAAGCTACAGTAATAATAAGGTTTGGAAAATATCAAAGAATTGTTATTAAGAACAAGTTTAGAACACTTGTGCTAAGAGCATTGTATACTGTAAAAATGTTCTGATTTCATTTATTATTACCGGTAATTAAAAATTCATTTAGTACCGGTACCGGAAATGAGGATTTTTCTTGGAAATTCCCGGAATTCCTGTAAAACTCCGATTATCCAAATTTTTGATTATCCGAATGGGGTCTGGTCCCAATTGATTCGGATAATCGGAGTTCTACTGTATGTAGCCTACAAAATTTAGGAAGGTCCAATCTAGGTTATGTTTACAGCGATGCAAGTTTTTTAACAAAATTTTTTTGTACCAGCTCGGAATCTGCCGGAAACTAAATTCAAAATGGGTACATATTATCTCTTCTTTTGGCCGATTTACTCCTTCAAAGTTTTTTTTTTTACCTGAACAAGTACCTTCTTTTAGTCAATGGGGTACAGTTCCACAGAGAACCTGTGATATATTTATCGGATGAACAACTTAACAAGGAACCTCGCTAATTCGAATTTCAGAGGAAATACCGTACAATATTATATTTCAAATTAGCCTATAGGAAGTTTGAAATAAAGAGGTCAGATAAATAAAATTCGAACTATGGAGGTCCCAGTTTTAAGTGTAGAGAGTTTGAGAGAACGGAGACTCTACACTCGTGGGAACATTAATAAGAGCGTCAGTTCAAGTTTGAACAGGCGTATTTTGGTTCTAAATTCGAATTACAGAGGCTTACAGTAATGCAGTTTGAATTGTAGAGGTTAACTTAAAATTTTGAAGGTAACAATTTGAATTATGGCAACACAATTCGAATTGTAGAGGCTCAAGTACCTATGTGCAAATTCGAATTGTAGAGGCTGAATTAAGAATAAAAATCACTTCGAATTATCGGTACCTAGCCTATATTATTTTTCAAATTTTAGAGGTTTTCTGAGGGGAACAGACAAACATTTCTAATTAAAGAGGTTTTCGAATATAGGAGCTGAAGTAAGAGAACGGTACATATGATTAGGCCTACTGCTGTTGGTCGTACTACCTTGTTGTAGATCTTTCTCTAGTTCTATTGTGTTTTTCTTATTTGTAACTAATCTTTTACTTTGTAGGATCGGTCTTCCATGTCAACTCTGTATCTAACTTCTTCATCAACATCTTCTTTTTCCGAATTCAATTCTATCTTCAGTTGAACAGCTTCAAATCTTTTCCAGTTTTCTTATAATACATCCATACTGTTTTGTAGAACTTCTGTGGGTATGGTGGATACATCATCTAACAGTCTAGGTCTGCCATTGTAATCTGGCCTTTTACAATAGCCCGTGTACTTTTTTCAAATCTACTATTGAATCAATGTTTTAACAAATTTTCATTATGTGGTTGACTACCGTAGTGAAGATATGAACAATTTAAAATACGTAATTAAATAATAAAAGGTAAAAAATTGAAGGTAAGTAGGCCTAAGTGTAGTTTCTTTTTTTTAACCTGAAGGACAGTCTTTATGTAGGTCTTGGTGGGGTCTCTCATAGTCTTGGTGGGGAATGAGAATGAGGACTTGGGAGCAGAAACTGAGTGGTTAGATTTACTTCAGAATGATAAATACATTTTTATGGATAAAAAATGAAACAATGGAAGGAATACCGGGTAGACTTCCGTATCTATTGTCAAAAACAACCTAATAAAAATATCAATTGATATGTCAATTATTCTATATTCGTTACCTTTTAGTTAGTTACGTTAGGTTAACCTAACTACCCAAACGATATATCGAATGAAACAATTGAATAGGCCCTTATCAATATTTTCATTCGGTTGTTTAGACAGCATATAAGCTTACGGAAGTTTACCCAGAATACCGGTAGCTGACAGAATACCTACTCAAGATTATTGGGAGTGTTCATAGTTTGTGTTGTATATGTAGCATAGGTATTGACTTTTTCTTAACTCATACATTCTGTATCTAAGTTAAATAACTTAAGTTAACTTATGTAAGGGCCCAGCAAACTAAGATTTTTTTAATCAAGTGCCGTATGTTCGTAATAAAGTACTGATTAGCGCGTTTGAAATAGCCTAAAGTTGATGATAGGTATTTAGGCCTATTTATGATGTCTATTTGTAACTCTAGACTTAAGTTTAACTTAACTTAGTCCAAAGTGTAGGCCTACTGCTTAAGTTTTAAGTGAATATCCAAAAGTTGATGAGTTTAGTAATAGGATGGTATTAGTGTAGCCCAGGAATCATATTAAAACGTGACAGGATTTTTAATTTCACGATTATAAATCAACCACTTGACGGATTGTCGTGATTTTTGTGTCAAAAGAAAGATAATTTTGAAAACTAGAGAATGTCGAAGCCATAATTTTAGTTTTGGGTTCCAGTTTTTTATAAATTAAGTTTTAAATTTTAAAAAGTCTAGCAGCCGACGCTAACAATCCACTCTAGCTTTTGGTATAATAAGTTTACCATTTGCTTAACAGCTGTAAACATTCAGCGTTTTCGACACAAATTCAGCTTTTGGATGAAAATGAAATTACATACGGTACGTAGAATTGACTTTTTTATACTGGCCTACCTAAGTTATGAGTACCTACCCTAATGCTATAATCATTGATACGTTTATTTATTCGGTAAGAGGATGAGAGTTTATAGGTAGGTACATAGTAAAATACTACTTAGATGTTCTAATTTATTTATTTGAGCAGTCTCTAAAATACTTACCTAGTTTGTTTTAGTGAAATATAATTTGTCATAACTAACAGTTGGTTGAATAAAAAATATTCTATAAAACTATGAGGTTAACTTAATTACCCTACCTACTCTGTGATTTTTACATTGATTATAGAAAATAAGTTAAGTAAGATTCTTTAACCATTGCTGTGTACGAATCGAAGCTCACGAATCTTCAAAAGAAAGCTTATGAAAATTTTCACTACTCGACTAGCCTATTTGAGGAAAGGTTGGGAAAATAACAATGATCTCATGTTGTAATTCATCTTGGAAGCTTTTTCTTTACTATAAATTTTGAATTGCTTAAACTAGGCCTATGCATGAATTAAGGTAGTAATAGGCCTAGACATAAGTGAGTCTGTGGCTCAGTCGGTAGCGTCACGGACTTCGGGCCCAAGGCAGCGATGTGGTGGGTTCGGATCCTGGTCACTGCCACTAAAATTTATCAGTACCGTTCACCTTTGTACTGTACCGGTACCGGCTCACCCCTTGCTTTGCTGTAAATGATCCAAGCACGGGCGCTTAGTCTGCAAGATGCAAGATTAAAAGAAAAAAACATTATAAGCCTAGGTATAGGCCTACGGTTTTAATGGACTAGGCCTACTCGATTCCCGTACGTAGGATGGGCCAACAGCTCGTTAAAATAATTATCTAGCCTACTCTATGTGCCATTGGACTTTTTCGACAAAATCGGGTGAAATCCAAGGAAAAATAACTGTTGCGCATATGAGCTCTCATTACCAAAGCTAACCTCCCAGTTCGTGATGTCAACATTAGCCGTAACCTGAAGAGATACTTGCTACTCACCTTTAAAGCTAGCATCACTATGAACTAACTTCAAAGTTATAAGTTAAAACCATGCAAGTGTCAGATTATTATTACTCTAAAGAATGAAAATAACATGCTACCCACCTGATAATAACTTGAATCCGCCATATTTTAGAGATTTCTCCCAACTTACTCTTTGCACTAACAAACTCCGGCACTACCAAACACTTCACAAAACAATAAGTAAAGAAGGATAATTCCTTCTCTCTTTGCGTTAGGTCACCATAAATAAGTATTTTAATTCAACACAATAAAATATACACAGATTAATAACTTTTGACACATCACAGTTACACACACCGAGGCTCAACTTTACCGACTAAAACAAGGTTTATTTTATTTTAACAGACAGCCAATCATAGGACAGAATCCGTCCGATTCAACTAACAGGTAGTACCAACTGGTTTTTGTACCGAAGAAAACTTTAATATCCATAGCATGTCATTTCATATGAATATGTAACGTTTTAAAGTCGTGTCCATCTGGGACCCACGTAAAAGGTTATCTGGAGTAGTGTTAAAAATTAAGCAAATATTGATAAAAAAATATAAAGTTTGAAATCATCACAAATTTACATTTAAGCTCTGAATTTTTTACTTTAAACTATATTGAAAAAGCAACACTGTCCACACTGTTGGTAACTTAAAAGTTAATAAATTGATGGTATGGTAAAATAACAGGATAAATTAGCCATATTTAACCAATGAAAAGTAATCGAGCGTTAAAACATTCTTTCAAGTAATATTGCTGTACTATCACGTAGGCTACTGTGCTACTATAACAAGTGCTAACCACAAATTCACATACGTATTAAAAAGACAATCCCCCCTTTTTTAAGAATCGATAATATACTCAATAACGCTCATATATAGCTATTGTTAGCACGTAATACAATAAATGTAATCATAAGAAGGAAAATCCATGCTAAGCTATACAGATATATACAGGGTTGGGCAAATGTGTGGATACCCCTAGTTAACTTTTTAATGGGTGACACCAGGAAAACTAAACTCTACATACCTTCATAAAAAATAAAACTGCACTTTTCGGACGGTATCCCAATTTTTCCCGGGACCCCAAAATGGGGTATTTTGGGAGTAGCTCCAAAATTTTAAATGTAAAGCCCCGTCGAGTGACACAAACCTCATTTTAAAGGCCTTTATTAAAGAAGAATATCAGCGAAAATTAAAGGTCTCTATCTCAACCCAGTACGACATGGCGGTAATTTAAAATTTTCATCAGCCTGAGGGAACCCACTTAAATGTAGGCATCAATATTCTATATCAACTTTTTAGCGGGTTATACCAGGAAAACTAAACTCCGCATACCTTCATAAGAAACAAAAATACACTTTTTGGTCGGTATCACAATTTTGCCCGGGACCCCGAAATGGGATATTTTGGGGGCAGCTCAACAATTTTAAATGTAAAGCCCCATCAAATGACACTTAATTTTAAAGGCCTTTATTAAAGAATAATATCAGAGAAAACTAGAGGTCTCTATCTCAACCCAGTACGACATGGCGGTCATTTGAAAATTCATCGTACAATTTAACCTCATTAAAAGTTTCTCTCAGGCTGATGAAAATTTAAAATGACCGCCATGTCGTACTGGATTGAGATAGAGACCTCTAGTTTTCGCTGATATTCTTCTTTAATAAAGGCCTTTAAAATGAGGTGTCAATCGATGGGGCTTTACATTTAAAATTTTGGAGCTACCCCCAAAATACCCCATTTTGGGGTCCCGGGAAAAATTGGGATACCGTCAAAAAAGTGCAGTTTTATTTTTTATGAAGGTATGTGGAGTTTAGTTTTCCTGGTGTCACCCATTAAAAAGATAATTAGGGGTATCCACACATTTGCCCAACCCTGTATAGTGATACAGAGCATCCACTGGCTCCAGAGTGGAAATCAGAGGCTATTGTGTAATATTGATAAGATGTTTCCTTCTTTCTTACGATATTTTATAGACAAGGACAAGAAAAAACCCTTGACGCCAAGAGGAGGCAGAGGCTATTGTAATATTGATAAGATTGTTCCTTCTTTCTTACGATATTTATAGACAAGAAAAACCCCTTGAAGCCAAGAGGAGGTATCAAGCGATAAATAAAGATTACCAGTTGAGTTTAGTACGGTCAAAACAACATACAATGCCAATTTCATTGAGTCCTCTCAAAATTCTTGTGCTGCTGCTTGGTCTGTCATTAAAAAGGAGGGGGCCCCTTGCAAAAGCAAAACCAACTACCTACTAGACTTTCTTCTGAGGAGCTGAATGATTTCTTCATTTAATTCTGTCCAACAGACTCGGGATGCAATTGGTACCCCACCAACCCCCGCTAAAAACCCTCCTAGCCCAGCAACCTAGACCAACATGTTCTTTTAACATTGAACCTGTCTAGCTCTTGTGGGAAAGTGCTATCTGTTGTACATAAGATGAATAGCTTAGAAGTAAGGATGTTGTTGATTTCTCCGCAATCTTAATTAAGAATGTGATTCATCATATTATTGTAGTTCCACTCACATATTGTATCAAGGAGGGTGTTTTTCCAGATGTCCTAAAAACAGCCAGAGTAGTCCCTGTCCATAAAAAGAGGGGAACCATAATGTGCCTGAAAATTTTAGACCTGTATCTATTCTCCCTGTGTTTGGTAAGATTTTTGAAGGTATAAGGATCAAATGTTACCTTATTTTGAAAGTAATGGACTGCTTGTATCAGCCCAGTATGGTTTCAGATCAGGCCGTTCCACAATCGATGCAGTTGAAGTTCCGACTATGGTGTTGTTTTAAATTCGTTTGAGAGTGGAGGCTTTGCTGGGGCCACAATATGTGACCTCAGCAAGGCTTTTTGACACCGTGGTCCACAAAATTTTGCTTGACAAACTCCATTTTTATGGAGTTAGGGGTAAGAGCGCTTGGACTTACTGGGATTATACTTGGGCGGGCGCAGACAGTTTGTCTCTGTAAATGGTCAGTCCTCTGTTGTCAAATCTTTAACTCATGGCGTCCCACAGAGGTCTGTCCTTGGGCCCTTGCTTTTCAACATAATGATAAATTACCTTTATTTGCATTTGGGAGAGGGGGTTGTTTGTTATGCAGATGACACTACTCTGATTGGGGTAAATGATAACTTTAATGTCCTGCAGGGCACAATGTCTCAGACTCTCCAAAGGGCCTCGGCGTGGTTCCGAGCAACTTTCTCTTTCTGAATGAGAGTAAGACTCTAGTCCATAATACAGGTCTTAGACAGCTTAAGCAAGATTTCACAATAAGCGTTAAACTACTTGGTTTAATGTTGGATCCTAAGCTGGATTGCAATAGTCACATACCTCTTGTATGTAGTAGACTTTCCAGGGTGATTCACTTGCTCCAGGAACTTGAAGAACTCTGTACCCACTGAATGGCTAAGAACTGCCTACCTTGCCTTTTTTCAGAGCATAATTCTTTGTGGTTTAAGACTTTGGGGTGGCACTCCGGGAGTCGAGAGGGTTTTGACGCTCCAAAAGGCGGCAGTCAGAATCTTGGCAGGTGCTGATTTTCTAGCCCACTGCAAATCTATCTTTATTTCTGAATCCGTTATGACAGTGTACAGTTTATATATTTACCAATCTCTTCTGTGTACTAAGCAGGAGTCAGGCTCTCTCGAACTCCGAAGGGATATCCACCCTCACAATACTAGGAGGAAGGATGACTTGAATGTACCCTATGTTAGATTAAGAAAGGTCCAATCTAGCTATTGTATACAGAGATAATATAAGTTTTTTAACAAACTCCCTTGTACAGCTCGGAACCTGCCGGAAGCAAAATTCAAAAAGGGGATAGAATCTCTTCTGTTGGCAAATTCGATTAACACATTCAAAGAGTATTTTGAAATTTCACCTGGCCAAGTAAGTCAGTTTTTTTTAGCCAATGAGTGCAATGTGTGATGATAAATAAGTTTTGTTTTTGCTTTTCAATTCTCTGCATGGTGTGTTGCAGGCTTAGGCTAAGATTTTGATGTATTTGACGTTTCCTTGTACATAATTATACTTTCAGGTAATAAATCATTCTCATTTACGTATATATTGTATATATGTCACTAGTCTCTATATAATATATATTAATGGTTTTAGTTTGAGACAAGAGTAAAAATAGGAATGTATAGTCATAGATAAAACATACTCCTCAAGGAGTATGTTTTATCTATGGTATAGCTGTTGTTATCCATCAAAATCATGAAAATATGTTTTTATACTAAAAGCTTTACATAAAAAAAGATAATTAGGAAAAAGAATTAAACCATTCAGTTATACTCGTGTAGAAAAGTGTCTAAAGTGAGGTCCTCAAGTTCACACCTCATCGTGTCCTTAATTATTCATAGGTATATTTATAGGAATTATTGTTGTTACTTAATTTGGGTCTTGTTAAGTAAACTGGAGTAAACTGTAATTAACTGGCAAATTAACTAAGTTAGTCTGTGGTCAGAATAATTAGTGATGGTCAAAACCAGAAATTTTGAATCTCAAAACCGAAACCGAAACTTTTAAAAATCGAATCCCGAAACTCAAAACCTTAACGCAAAACTTTTTACTTAGCTGGTTACATAGGTCAAGGTTACAAAAAATATAGGTGATAATAAAATGTTAAGTATGCAATCAAAACTGAAAGAGATCTACTCCTGACACTGACATAACATAAATATTTATCTGATAATCTTAAACTTGAATACAACTTTTTTTTTATAAACAACCAACATTAAAATAAATTAAACCCCTAACACCAACATAAATATTAGATTAATTAGAACATTTAGTAGTCAATATTTCTCTGTGTTATGAAAATATTGATGTGAAACTGAATGATGTGAAATTTGGTGATCGAATCTCGAAACCGAAACTTTTCCAAAGTTTTGATGGTTTTGAGATTTGGTTTTGACACATCACTAGCAGAATATTTAATCTATGCTGTTGCTGCTCTACTGTAGAAGACCAATTATATATTTTTTGCTACGACAGTACAAGATTTGAATATAATACTCCATTAAGATCAAGGAGATATTTTTGGTCACTTGCAACAGCTGATTATTTCCCGTGGAGTCTCAGATGACTGAAACAGTCCCATTTGATCGATATCCCATATAACTTTGTCAGCGTCAATAGCGTCAGCTTCGGGAACCTTACTCATAGGTTCCTCATAGTCAAAAGCTTCGTTTGTCTATAAAACAACGTCCTGCAATAATAGAAATGTCTCTGTTTGAATTTGGAAAATTAATTCAGTAATTTGATATCTATGTACATTCAAAACCCTAAAATATCCATGACACTTTTTTACTTGAG